CTCTTCACGGATTACGATATCGACAGATGCAATCGAGAACAGCGTGTGTCCCGATGCTGCTCGTTGGCAGGGTGAGTGCTCAACGAGCTCTGCCCTTGCCTCTCCGCCACGTTCTCTGCTGAATTCAGAGAGACGGGCGGAGGAGCGATCCCTCGGAAGCGCAGGGACAAAACCCGTCGCCTCCAGAACCCATACCGGGTTCGCCCGCCCTGTCCAGAAGTCCGCTACGGACAATAGTCACTCCAACCCTATCACCCCCGTTAGGGAGACTATCACCCGTACCCAGGGTGCACCACGGGGAGGTCTTCTGGCACCGCACCTTAAATTAACCTAGCCTAACCTAACTAGCAATAAGAAGGTTTTTTGTTACAGAAAGTGGTAAGATAACTTAAAATAAATTATTTCCAAACTTCAAGAATACTTTCATGAACTTAGCAACCGCTGGAAACCGAGCGACCTCTAAAATATTCACAAATTCTACTCAATAAGTCAGGAATCTTTAATCGTTAAAGAATTTGAGGCGTCCACCAAATACCATAGAAGATTGATTGATTTTAAACCTACTTTGCTTAATTATAGTGAATATTTTATTAATAGCAAATAATACAAATTCCCGCGGAGATAGGGGGAGATTCATAGTCAGAACTTATGACGTTGGTTATTAATTTATAAATTCAAAGGTAACCAATTTTTAGTTTATTTTAGTGAATTTTAATTTAAAACTTCGACCGTTCACCGAGTTGCGAGCAACAGTATCCTATTATAGAAACTATTGTGGGGTTAATTCCTTATTATAGGGGGAGGATGCTTTTGGCATGTGTAAAGACGATGATAACGCAAAGGGCATTGACTAAAATTGGTGCCTTCCTTTTTCTGGCGGCAGTCGATGATTTATGGAAAATATTATCTACAATGTCATTACAAACGAAATTGTCTATGGGCTCATATATGGAAATCTCAGTCTGGACTGAGTTATGAGCGTTGAAAGGAACTGGAGTCAAACATTTTACTTTCGTTTTTTTATTCAAATTATTCCTATTTTTGTCTCAATTTCTAACTTCAAATTATTGCGCGCCACTGTACGCCGGGCACTGAAACACCAAATCACACCACAATATATCCATATTGCCAGTCGCTAATTTTTATTAGCTATTTTCTCTCAGTCAATAACTTGTTGGATGTTTCTAGGAGTTGTGTCGTGAAAGTTCATGAGTGTCAGCTGTGGTACCAGTGGTGGGTTGAGTAGTTGTAGCCGTCCAAACATCTAATAAAGTATTTTTTTTGCCGTTGACTCCTGGTGGGTGACTCATCTACTTTATAGTTAGCATAATTTTTTGAAGAAAGGAAACCGTCGTTTTTGTAAAGTGAGGGACTATACGTCAGATGAGCGCATACTTTTTTCATATAATGTGATCGGTCGAAATCCATCACTTTGTGACTGTACAGAATCTTATGCTAGATGTAGATTAAAGTATTAACTGAAGTTAGATTAGTTACTAATCGGAAGTATGTCGGGAAAAGTAGACAGAAAAATGGTTTTTTCGTGTTTTGACGACTGCCACTACTCAATCCGCTACCGACGCCGTAGCTGACAAACATAGCATTTCATGATAGGGTTCAGTAAAGTATCAAAATCGTTTTTAAACATTTATTACAAAATATTTCTGACAAGTAAATGAAGAAATATGCGTTGTATACGGTCACCATCAACAAAAAAATCACAGGAATAAAAATATACCTCTATTTTCACATCTTTGAACTGATTTAACTCGGTTTGGACTGTGTTTTTGATATAAGAACCCTATATATTTTTTTTGTTTGTAATGTTATTCTGTATCAGTTTTTCTACATCCGATCAACTGCCCCGAAAAAGTGAAAAGGCACCACGCTCCATACGATTTTGGTCATTGTCATTTAAACCACTGTTACTATAATACGTTGACATATCGTACCAAACATCCCCAAAAATTGTTTATACAAAAATAGTCTCTAAACATCGGAAATAAGGTCTATAACGGAGATAGTGGACAGCGGTCATCGGTGACCGCTTGGGGGTTGAACAGTCATGTGTTAGTAAAATGTTAGCAATTTTATACGTATTCTACAATGACTATTTTTCTGAACTTAACTACGTGGTCCCACGGTGGGTGGCAGAAGCCATATCTCTCTCTTGATTGATTACAATTGTCGTTCACTGAGCAGATTTAACTCGTCGAGTACCGGTTTTGCAGACACAATTATAGAACAATAGGTTGCTTGGTGTTTGACAGTTTAATACAACAAATTTCGATACTGTTTTTTTACGTAATAAGTCGGTAAACGAGCAGACTGATCACCTGATGGTAAGCAATCAGTGCCGCCCATGGACGCCTCTGCGCAAATGCGTTACCGGCCTTTTGGGGATTAGAAATTTGAGGATTATTGGGGATTCAGAGATTGGGGAGATTCGGTAATTGGTCCTCTGGTAACCTCACTCACACGACGAAACACAACGTAAATGTTGTTTCAAATCGGCTTATTGTGATATAAAAAAAAAATTGAAAAATTGCCTAAAGGACTTGTGATCGAGGACCAAATAATTTGATATAAAACTAAAAACTTGTATAAATTATTTTTTTTGTGTTATTGTACTTTGTAATGGTGTGCAAATAAACAATTTTTCTCACTTTTTATCTTTCTGTAAAAACTAAGTAATTGTAATAAGGGAAAGCAAGAACCTATCTCAAATCATAAATATATTTTTTATTTAAAAAAAATGATATAATTTAATTTAAGTGCCTATTATTAAATATATATAACTACATAAATATTTACAACTTAAAATTTACTACAACTAAACAATTACATAAATTAATTATACCCTTCATTTAGGCGTCAAAGTATTCGTCCGCATCACTATCACAGGGGAACGTTCCCAGGAGACTGGCAGCATTGCCACGTTGAATGGCTAATGCTTATTTTGAAAAAAATAATCAAACCAGTACTCAGGATTATAATAATTATTGGTGCAACTTTCCTAAACTATGGTCAATAGGTTTCCTAAAGCAGTCGATGCTATAAAAAGTATCTCCGGTAAATTTCCACAGGTGGGGTAATCGTTTAATTGGAAAACATCGCGAGACTAATCCGAATCTCGCGCCGCATCCAATGGCTGACAAATCAGAATTCAATTAAAACTCTTTGTTTGAACTTGATTAGTTTTTGTATCAGTTCGCTCATCCACGTGTGTTTGGACATCTTCAAAAGGATAGTTATCTAACACTTTTGGGATTTTATAGAAGATTTTCTCGCGTAATTGAGAACAAAAGTTTTTCAAGTAGATTAAAGTTTAGCTCACAAGATTAAATGGGAGCTCTCAGTAAGTTTGCAATGGTTTTTAAAATTTATCCGAAAGAATATCAAATGGATTAAATGTTCTGGCCATGATCACCGACGGATCACCTGATGGTAAGCCATCGGCGTCGCCCATGGACACCTGGAACGTGGCGTTATAAGTGCGTTACCGACCTTTTGAGGATTAGGAGTTTGAGGATCGTTGGGGATTCAGGGATTGGGGAAGGGGAAGGTAATTGGGCCTCCGGTAACCTCACTTACACGACGAAATACAACGCAAGCGTTGCTTCACGTCGGTTTTCTGTGAGGCCGTGGTATCACTCCGGTCGAGCCGGCCCATTCGTGCCGAAGCATGGCTCTCCCACACTTAGATCCACGTATACTTAATCTATGTTATTAAATAGTCTGTTAGATGATATCTAGAGGTATATACAGATAGACACCGACTTCTAACCTATCAGTGGGCGGGTAACCTATCAGTACTAATAATAGTTATTTTTTGCTTTTTAGTTTTTACTTTTTGTTTGTTATTAGTTTTTGGTTTTTTGAAGACGGTTTTTTAAACGCAGTTTTTGTTTTATTATTTTATAACTTTAAGTGCAAAGCTGCATAGATCTGTTTTGCCATTTATAATTTACATAGATGCAAATTCCAATCAATACAAATTATACAAGCCTAAACACAAGGTAGTTACTATAAACCGTTGAAGAGTTCCCTTAACAATTACACTTCTTCATCATCAGACCCTTAATGACAGTCTCACTCCATGTAGGTGTAAAGTTATCGTCAATACAAATTAATCAAGCCTAAACACAAGGTAGTTAATATAAACTGTTGAAGACTTCTCTCGACTGTCTGTCGGCTCCATCATCAGGTCAACTCCAGATCATTATCAAATTTTAGTGTTCAAAAATCATAATTGAACAACTTAATAGACGTATTACTTGCCTCGGGAGTATACCCTTTCAAAGATTACAAGAATTTTGGAAATCGGTTCACCAAAGGTGGAGTAATCGGTGAACAAATAATAAAAAAAGCAATTAGCTGAACATAGTACCTCCTTTCTTTGAAGTCAGTAAAGAAGAATTGCAAGTTACCAATAAAAATGTACGCATGTATTTCTTCTTTCAGCTATTTTACTCATCATTGCCACGACATTTAGTCCATTGTTTGGTAAGAAGGAAGAAAAGGAGGTGGCAAAATTTGAGATGGACATACCAGGTCTAATCGATATATTTTCAGCTGCCAAACGCGAACTAGAACGTTCCAAACTCATGGAAATGTTTAGTAAAAACCAAATAGCACAGAATATTCTTCAACAGGTAATGTTAACAGTCATAGTCATGCCTGTCTTAGAACTGCGTTACTGATACAAGGTTGATACGAGTGATTTGAATGAAAAGTTGTACTTAGATGACAGTATGACGTTTGATAGAGGAGTATTTTTAAGAGGGAAAAATCACTAAAAGCTTTACCTGCCTGGGTGAGGTGGGAGGGGCGTCAGACTCTCACTGACTAAAACCGACCCTGTTCCTACTCCTGCACTTCGGTAAGCCGGTGTTAACCCTTTACGTTCTGATAGGGGAGTATAGAAGGAGAATGTAAGAAGCTTAAATCTGCAATGCCAGCAAATAGGTAATCCAGTAAGCACAAGGAATGAGTTAAGGTAGTTCGAGTAGTCCATTACTTTATGAACATTTTTAAAGTCCCTCTTTTTGCAATATCAGTATGTCGTTCTCTTTTATTAGACTGAAAAGACCAGGTTCTAAAATGATCCTTTCGGCAACTTCTTACAAACATTTATAAACATAAACTTGAAGTTAACATAATTATAATAATTATGGTTATCAGGTAAAGGAGTATGCAGAAACTAATCCAGGGAAGACAACTGCAACTCGAAGAACTCTATGGAAAGCCAATTTGAGGACCATCCCAAGAACTGAACAGAAGCTAGAAGCTGCTAGAAGAGGCCGTTATAGTGGTCATATAAAGCAGGTGTTGAAGAAACTAGACAGACGTAGAAAAGACCAATTAATAGCTCGTAGCAATTTTATAATGAATAACCCTCGTTACAATATAATAACTTAAATTTCTCTAGAATTTAATAACAATAAACATTGTCAAGAAACCTGGCTGTATAATTTCTTATCATAATGTAGCTAATCGAATGTTATAAATGTTTGAAATCGCCAATCCGCCTTGTAAAATTATACCCTAATTATTTTTATTGCATTTGACTGCACGGTTGATCCGGTGGCTGGGCAACCGGCTGCCGTGCAACGTGTCGCGGGTTCGATTCCCGCACGGAACAACACTTTGTGTGATCCACAAATTGTTGTTCCGAGTCTGGGTGTCATGTGTATGTGAACTTGTATGTTTGTAAACGCACCCACGACACAGGAGATAATACTAGTGTGGGGCAACGTTTTATTAAAAAAAAAATCGAATGTTATAATTGTTGTATAATTATACCCTAATTATTTTTATTGCATCGGTTTCAAAATTTTACAATTACCAGATTATAACTAGGGGTTGGTTTTAGTGTCGCGCTGACTGTCGGCGCTGACGGATCACGGACGGATCACCTGATGGTAAGCAATCGCCCATGGACAGCTGGAACACCAGAGGCGTTACAATTGCATAACCGGCGATTTGGGAATTAGGAATTTGAGGATTGTTGGGGATTATATTATAAAATGTGTTATGTGAGATGTATGAACTTCTAGGAAACATTTTTGAATGAAACGTAGCTATCAGCGCGTATGGTTCCTAGAAGTTCAAAACTCTCGGCTGTCAGCGACGACGGTCAGCGCAACACCAAAATCAGCCTTAAGAAGTCTATAGGTAGAATATTTATTTTTCAATTAGAAGAAGATACAACTAGAATTTCATGTTCAACAGTCAAAATAACTACTAGAATTAAAGTATCAATAAACAAAGAAATAATACAAACAATGATAGGAAACCTTAAGCTACTAAAGTGGTTCATGTTGCTGACATTAAACAAACTGTTAATATCAACTCCAATGCACCAAGTTAAGGAAATACTTAAAGTGAAATTCTCGTAAAAACTGTAAGTGTAAGAGAAACTGCATCATGATTATTATGCACTGTAGAATCTACATTTTACCTCTTCGCAAATTATAGCGTAACTAGGTATAGTGACCATGGTTTTAAATAAAATGTTGGGAACTCTGACTGTTCACTTGTTTCTTTGTTCTTGTTTTTACTCTTTTAAGTTTTTTTTATTATTGTTTTGTAGGATACTGTTTTTAAGGGGGGAAAATCATCGAATGACTGCTCCCGCCTAAGTGAGGCGGGAGGGAGTGTCAGACTCTTACTGACTAAAAACCACCCGGTTCCTTGTCCTGCACGTCGAGCCGAAGCCCCGGTTACCCGTTAGGTTCTCCGTGACTTTGTAGTATACTAGCGACCTGTCTCTTCTTCGCACGGGTGCAATATTCATGCATTATACATTATAAACTTTCCTTAAGAATCACTCTTTCTATTAAAAAAACCGCATCAAATTCCGTTGCGTAGTTTTAAAGATCTAAGCATACATACGGACAGATAGACGGCGGATAGCGACTTTGTTTTATACTATGTAGTGATAAAGATCTATATAGTTTCAAAATTATATTTGTATCTGTATGCGTTCTCTCCTCTTTCTTTCTTTTAACTTTAAGGACTAAAGCGACAAGGAATTTATTTGATAAGTTTTTAAAAATGTATTGGTGCATTGGCGATTTGCATCGTAGATCTCGTAGAATTAGTTAACAGAATAGATTTGAACCCCGTAGATTACTGACTTACTTGATTCAATGTCCTTCGGATGTTCGACCAATACAGGTCCTCCGTCGTACGTAAATAACAAAAAATATTTGACTTTTGTTGTGCATGACGGTGGAAACTGCATCAAAGTCAAAAGTCAAAGTCAAAATCATTTATTTCAATTAGACCAGGAAGGCACTTATGAACGTCAAAACAAAATATTTAAATATTAATTAATAAGAAAAAATGTCAGTCTGTAGATCAGTCCTCTAGTGAAGCTAATTGCTCGTGCCAAATTGTAGTTTCCTATGGGGAAGAACGAGCAAGAAACTCCATAGGTTACTCTTTTTCGATCAGGTTCACAATACAATTTTTGGTTACATTCATTCGTTGAGTGTTATAATAATATATCAAAACTATTGACGATATCTTATTAACTTATATTACTTAAACTGTCAACCACCAAGCGGTCACCGGTGACCGCAACCTATTGTTCTATAATTGTGTCTGCAAAACCGGTACTCTACGAGTTAATTATCATTGTGGAATATATTGACTGCATGGTCGCGCAACGTGGCACGGGCTTCATACTCGCACGGAATATTTCTATGTGTGATTAAAAAGTTGTTGTTCCAGATCTGACTGTGATGGATATGTGTGACATTGTACATTTATAACTACATTCACAACTCAGATGAGTGAGGGCAACACTTATTTTAAGTATCCTATCCTAAGACACTAGCACCGCATGGTCACCATAGTTGCAGGTGTCAGCAAGCTGAAGACTAATGTGATTAGTGGCAGACACAGCCGACGGGGGCTGGAGGCGCCTCCGAGGACTCACTTCCATTAGCAGCCGCTGTACAATGTACATGTTATTACTTCGCTATTTAAATTTGAAACTGAGTACGCATTTGTTAGTTGTATTGATTTTTCATGAGGTGTTTTGAGTTTTGAGTGAGTATTTTTATCAGTTAGAAGAGAGGTTTTTTTTGCTAGAGTAGAGTAGGTACGATGTAGATGTAATTTATTTCAATTAAACCATAATTTGACTGGACTACCTCGTTGGCCGAGTGGTTGGTTGGCAAGTGCGACTGCCGGGCAAGGGGTCTTGGGTTCGATTCCCGGGACGGGCAAAGTATTACTGTATTTAAAAAAAAATCTCAGTTTTAGCACGTAGTCTAGATTTGTGCCCGGTATATGGCAATAGACTCATCCCCTATTACGTGGGACTCATAACATAAATAGTGAAAAGTGGGTGTTACATTGTACAGTGGCATAATGTGCACCTCTGCCTACCCCTTCGGGGATAAAAGGCATGATGTTATATTATGTTAAAGCATAATTTGTTAATTTTGAAACGTCAACAAATATAAAAGAAATAATCATACAGGTCATTCAGGTCTAATCTCGGTAATTGGGCCTCCGAAAACCTTATTTGGTTTTCTGTGAGGGCGTGTAGTATCACTCTATTTTTTCCTTTCTAATGTTATTGCGTTCATAGTCTAAAAAATATTAATGAACAATAATTTTTTTTTAGTTTTATTTGGTAGTGGAAGCTATAAAAAATAATATAAGGCATGTATAATATTTAATTTAATATAGGATATCAATAAATCTTTAATTTCTTGTCCAACAATAAACCTACGCTATTCTATAAATTCTATTTATACATAGACTTATTATTAATTATCCAAGAATTGAAAAAATGGAAGAACTTTAATCAATTTTGAGATCTGCATCCACCATTTCAGTAGACATAAAACGAATACTTAATAGTTTTTTTACTTTAGCATTTATTTTTGAGTACTAAATGTTAATGATACCTATAAAATCGCGGTCGGTACTCGTTTCGAACCAAAAACTTAATTACCGAAGTGCAGGAGTAGGAACGGGGTAGCTTTTAGTCAGTAAAAGTCTGACACTCCCTCCCGCCTCACCCAGACGGGAGCAGTCATTCGATAATTTTCCCCCCTTAAAATAATCTTAGTAATTTTATTTATTTTATTTCTTCTCAATAAAAGATAACAGAAAACTAAAAATAACTATTTACAGAGAGCATCAGATAATTCGTCCGCATCCACGTCAAAGGAAAGTACCCAGAAGCCTGGCAGCATTGCCACGTTGTATGGCAAAGCTTAACCTCTGACCGAGAAATTAGACCAGCCACGAGATGCGTCGATTTTGATTATGATGATGATGATGATGATGATATCATTTCAGATTCGTGTGTGACAGCAGAGTCAATTACGGAACTAATTCTACAGGTTTGGCGGCTGAAGTTCTCTGATGAACCTTATATTTTTATACTACTATTACCAAACTGCATGCCAAGCGGATCAGCAAGATACTGAAAAAAAGATAAACCTTATTATAATCCGACTCAGATTTGGAATTCGAGTCCTCTTGTATGTACAACAGCCGCGATTGTTACCATCCAACCAACGAGAAACCCTGTAACGATTGACGACCCACAAGTAAAACAATACAAATAAACTAATAAATATTTTCCTACAATAACTTGTAAAACAAATTAAATTTAAATTGAGCTAAACTTAATCTAGTAATTCTAGCTCGAATGTTAGTCTAACTTCTAAGACTTTGAGGTCAAGGCAATAGCGGGGCTCAAGTTAATAGTTCCTAGGGGAGCTAACAGTACAACTTGTATTAAATTCAAGCTGTTTTCATTAAGAGGGTGGGAAATTTGAAGTGTTATCGAGATACTAATCCTGTTGATACAACTCTGTTCTTGGGGCTCTCAGGCGTAGAAAATGGTGGATGATGTGAATAGTTTTTGTGATTGTAAAAATTTTGCGAAGGACTATTTTAGCTATCAAACTGTCAAACACCAAGCGGTCACCGGTAACCGCGACCTAATGTTCTAAAATTGTGTCTATAATGACGGTACTCGACGAGTTAATATCTAAAATAGACTAAATAAATACCTTATTGGTCGAGCGGAGCCCCTTACTCAGCGTTCTGAGTTCAATTTCCGGGTCGAACAATCTGTTAACGCAGTTTTTAAGTATAAACTCTTTACTAGTTATGTTACGTGTCTTACAGGAATAGGACTTATAGCTATATAGCCTTATAGCTAGTTATTGTTATTGATGAGTTGAAACATAGCTCTAGTGTACTACGCGAATCAACCAGTAGAACTTTTATAAGTGTGGGAGAGCCATGCTTCTGCACGAATGGGCCGGCTCGACCGGGGTGATACCACGGCCTCACACAAAACCGACGTGAAGCAACGCTTGCGATGTGATTCGTCGTGTTAGTAAGGCTACTGGAGGCCCAATTACGTTCCCCCTTCCCCAAACTCCCCAATCCCTGAATCCCCAACAATCCTCAAACTTCTAATCCCCAAAAGGCCGGTAACGTACTTGTAACGCATCCGATGTTCCAGGTGTCCATGGGCGACGCCGATTGCTTACCATCAGGTGATCCGTCTGCTCGATTGCCGGCTTATACCATAAAAAAAAGAAAAGAACTGTTGCTAGGCAACGCACTAGTAGCTACCTAACCAACCAAAAATGAAGCAGTCCTTTCAGCAACCAATCTTTTGAAGAACATCCTTGCTATTATAAATGGAAAAATGAGTTTGTTTGTTTGTTTGTTCCACTTTCACGCCGTAACTTCTAAACCGATTGCTTTGAATTTCTGCAGGCGTAAAGTTAGAAGTCCGGAATAAATAATAGGATACTTTTTATCCCGGAAAATTTTGATATTCCCGAGGGAAAACAAAATAATTGGTATAGATGGCGCTGTGTGTATTGGTATATGTCACATAGGCTACTTTTATCCTTTTCTGACGCGAGCGAAGCCGCGGGTAAAAGCTAGTACCTAATATTTATTGTTATGCTGTTACATATTTTTTTTTTTTTTTTTTTATACTTTATAGGTCGACGTTTGACCACCATCTCGCCTGATGGTAAGCGATGATGTGGCCGACGATGGAGCACGCCTACCTATGAGCAACCTGTTCACTCGGGACTTGAAGACACCCAAGTCATATTTGGCGGGAAACACAGCCTCTGGCAAAGAATTCCATTCCTTAGCGGTTCGCATGAGGAAGCTTGACGCGAAACGCTTCGTTCGAATGGGTGGAATGTCCACCATATAAGGGTGGCGTCCCGCCGTTCGCCTGGTGGTACGGTGGTGAAATGGACTAGGGGGAATAAGTTTGTGCAATTCCCACGCACACTCACCGAAATGTAATAACTGAACCATGATTTAGTAGCACTACGTACCTACACATAAGCGTGTACATATTTCCAGGAGGTGCAGTGAACGGATTAACCCGGGAACACGTAAACAGTGAGTACATAGGTAGTGTTAAAACAGAAACCACTTTGAGAGGATTTAGTCCATGCAAGGAAAGCTTTAGGTTCACATTGGATTACTTATTTATATTATTTTCTGTATACTGTGGTTTGATCTGTTGTCGGCGGTATTTCCGAACCGATATGACCTTCAAACCTTCGAGAAAAGAGCGTATTCCTTTTTAATGGGCCGGCATCGCACCTGTGACTCCTCTGGTGTTGCGGTTGTCCATCGGCGGCGCTGATCCTTATCATCAGGTGATACGTCTGTTCGTTTGCCGCCGATTCCATAAAAAAAAGTTATGCTTTCTAATATACAAAGGTGTCGGCTTTTTTTTAATGGGGGAAAATCATTGAATGACTGCTCCCGCCTGTGTGAGGCGGGAGGGAGTGTCAGACTCTTATTGACTAAAAACCACCCTGTTCCTTCGTCGAGCCGGAGCCCCGGTAACTCTTTAGGTTCTCCTCGACAAAGGTGTTGGCTTAGGGGCACATTTCATTTTACTATGAGTCCCATTTTAAACATTTATATCTTATATTCTTATAATATAAGGTGAAAGCGTCTGTTTGTTTGAACGCGCTTATCTCCGGAGCTACTGGTCCAATTTCAAAAAAATCTTTTTGTACTGAATCGTCCTTTTATTAGGAAAGGTTGTAGGCTATAAAAATTACGCTACGAACAGTAGACGCTGAATAGAGCGAGTGTAACCGCGTGGAAGTAGCCAGTACGTAGTATGTATAGAGGGTGCCCTATCGCCATACACTGAAACCAATTAAGTTATATCGAATATTGCTAGTTAAATACTTATTACCTAAGTACTGAAAGCTTAAACTTAAGTTTTGACTCGTAATGATTTGACTGTTAGGTACTTCGCTAGAAAGTGAACCTACTAGATTTTATTTACTTACACTTTTTATTTACTGTGTTAAAGAATAATAGACCTTACGCCTTTCGTGAAACAGAATAATGGTGCGTACTTAGTTAACATACCTCTACACAATATAGGTAGGTACTAAGGTAGGTACATAATTATACAAAAAACGTCATTGAACGCCATAAGTAAATTAAACATAAAGCACTCGTTAACTGTTCTGTTATTTTTGACTAGCCCACACAAACACACATACATACATAATATTTGTACGTTTAAATATGAGTTGGAACTTCGGATGTACCGAGTCGTGTAATGAATATCAATTATAGTATCAGTACCAACGCGAAGGGGCGGGCATAGATTATTTAAATAGACTCGACTGATCTGTTTGTGGATCTTTCTGCCTAACTGTTCATATGAGCTTTTAATGGCATTTTTTTATTTAAATACTGGTTTTTAACTAATTGTGTTTTTGAGGTTCTGTTATAAATAAGTGTAGTAAATGGTTAAGAAAAGATTTCTTACAACTAATTATGTTTTTTGAAAAATGTAAAGTATCTTGAATAAAAAAAATGTATTGGTTCGTTTATGTTCAGGCTATGGAAGGGCCTATAAAACCGCACTTAAAAATTTAAAACCTAATTTTTTAAACAAGTCTCTTTTTATAAACAAATTCGTGTAACTTTTTTGACGAGGAACTCGACTAGTTTCACTTTCATCAGTCACGTGAGTTAGCCGAAAACAGGATGATTAATTTAGTAGGTATGTCTATTTATTACAAAACAGTACAGTATTACAGTAGTACAGTAACATATTACAAAATATACATAATTCAGCTTACACATTATACTTGGCAAATGTGTTACCAACTACGTTCTCCACAGATTACTTTTTATATTAGATCTAGAGTGACACAAATATAACATTATTAATAGTAACATTTTTCAAATAAATCAAATAATAACGTCTCACGAAAGTTATAATATAAATTCAGTAGGTATTATTGCATGGTCTTTGGTTCAGCAACAAAAGACAAAAAAAATAACGTTCCGACTTGCATCTCTACACAGATGTTTAGTCTTTGAAACCGTATGTCTCCCAGAGATCTCGGAAACTATAATTTTATCATCATTACACTTGACAACTAGGTCTACCACATATGTATCCCAGACGTTGTCTGTATTCACAATTCTTTTTTCCCGACAATTGAGCAGTATAAAACTAAATCCCTGGGTGATCCGATCTCTAGTCCGATTTCGTTCGCTTCTATATTAAGAACGCCTTCGCCTGGCCTCGCACGATGCGTGTGCGCACAGCAAACGTTCACACAATAAAAACCAAACGTAGTACATATTATATTTTTCTGACGAACCCGACTTAAACCGATATCACTAAAAATTTCAAGTGAATTCTGTGATAATTTTATATTTTGGACATTTTAAAGTAAAATGGTAAGTCTAAAATGTTGCTAAAATAGCTGCTCTTGAAATTCGGACGTATTTGAGAGGTGGTCAATAAAAATGCTCGCGTAATACCTAACATTGGCAGGATTGTGTTCTAATTGGCTTTCGTCTTAATGTTTCAGTCCGTAAAGTGAATTAAAAAGTGAAAATAATCGTGTGGTTATCGCTGAAGAAGACAAAATGAAGTTCACAATTGACGTTTTGGGGATTTTTCTTAAAGTCGTCGTTAAGGTTAGTTGTTTTATTTATAGTATTTTATTATAATCATTTAATAAAATAAATAATATACCTGTCTGTATATTTTAACAAAATTATCGAATCTAAATTCAAACAACGAGCTGTTAAAAATAAATTGTGCTTAACCGAACATTTATTTTCGAATTTCCGCGTTTGAAAACTTCGAACAGAATGTGTGACGTCAACGTAAACATTTTTTTTTCTGTATTCTAAATTCAAACGCACATTTTAACAATATTTTTTTTTAACAAAATCAGAGGTTTTTTTAAATAGTAAATTACATCATGAGGTACAATTTGGACAATAAAAGGGCTTTAGAGGTCAACAGTAAACAATGGAACAATAAAAGTGATTATACGGCGAGTCTATTATGTGACCTAGTTGGTACGACCCGCGGGATAGTAAATCAGCTGTTTATTTAGCGCAACTAGTAAGCCAATTGATGACTGAACTGAATTGTGACTGACAGTTTAATAGGTGATACCTACATAAGTATGATTTTTTCGGTAATTCTCCAGTTTGACGTTCTTTATCTAATTACTGTAACCATTTTAATTTCTTTTTTACATGGGACTCGTAACATAAAGAGTGAAAAGTGGGTGTTACATTGTACAATGGCATAAAGTGCTGTAATGTGCACCTCTGCCTGCCCTTTCGGGGATAAAAGGCGTGATGTGATTTTATGTTATTTTTTATGGATTTCACTTAAAACATTAATTGTTAAATAAACTTATTTATTTGTCTCTGTAATGTGTTGCCACTTTACCAGACAAGGATCGCATTTTTTAAAATAAGGCGATTAATAATTTTTGTGGTTAAAAAACTTTGTTACATGCCATAATAATTACTGAAAGTGTCTTTCATTTGTTTCAAATTTTAATGTTAAACACATTGTTAAAATAAAAATGGTATCGATAATAATTAGGCGAAGAATGTCAAACTGGAGCTTTACTAGAGCATTTGAATCTGAAATTGGAGATGTAAAAATCTGAAATGAATTTTCTGAATAATCTCAGAATCAATTAATTTAATCCAGTTTGTTCGATTTGCCGAATATCATCGTATACTTATTGTAACTTTATCAACTATTTTACAAAATACAACAATATTAGGGTTAATTATGTTATTGAATAATCTTTAACTTATCTATTACCTAATTGTAAGCCACAATAACAATAACTAAACCCGCCTTGCTTATAGTAACGGGTTAACGGGTTACCGGGGCTCCGGTTCGACGTGCAGGAGAAGGAACGGGGTGGTTTTTAGTCAGTAAGAGTCTGACACTCCCTCTCGCCTTACCCGGGCGGGAGGAGTCATTGGATGATTTTCACCCCTCAAAAAAAAGGTACCTACTTATACACACTCAACATGTGCAGTTGCACATTTTCTACAGCTACAAAGATAGTTAATAAAAACTCATTTCCAAATTAAAAACTGTCCTTTTTTATAAAAAAGATCCCTTTTATACAAGACCCTTTTTATACAATGTCCTTTTTATACAAGACCCTTTTTATACAATGTTCTTTTTATACAACATCCTTTTATACAACTCCTAAAACTACTCGATAACGTTTGCAGACAAAGACTGTCAGGGATCAATGACCTGACCCCTACCAGTGCATCTAGCCTCTTTATCCAGACCAAGTCGTAATACTTTATGACAAGGGATACTTATTGCACTTAAGTACTTGTACTAGAGAATCCTAGTTCTCGATTTATTTTATCTTCATAAGTTATTGTATGATAACCTTTTAATATATTATGATGTTATATAAGGAGTCAGTATATATTTTAGATATGTATAGAATGTGTCATATTGCGTAGGGTCTATTGTCTGTCTAATTAAATTCCTGCTAGTCTATGATATAAGTTTCACATATTTCGGGCCGATTTTTTAATGCTCAGTAAAATTTTAACTGAGGAATAACTTTATAGTTACTCGACACTGGCAGTATAGTCGACAACACCGTTTTGGAGACTCGGTTGCCAAAGAAGAAAAAAAAACTTTAAATATTTGTCAATTCCATACTAAAAACTGTCAACTGTCAATTTTATTCCACAGTAAGGAATTAACTGATGATTGATAATCGACCCTTCGTGTGGGAAATACGTCGAATTAAACTAACAGGAACCGAATTAGACTTTGAGAAAAAGGCCCTAAGTCTCCAGATTTAAATTTAAAGTTAAAAAAAAACTGCAGTCGAATTGAGAACCTCCGCCTATACCTTTTATGCACAGCAGGGATGAGTATAAAAATAAGCGCCTATTATTTTAAAAATGGAATGATAACTCGGAAAAGTGAAACTTTTCTTAACTGGTTTCAAATCTGCATTCCAGTACTTAAGAGAACTGCAGCTGTAGCTAAATGCCATTTAGCGCTTGTCTACATGTAGAATAGATAACCAAATTATATGGAATTTACGTAAATTTTGACACTTGTCCGTGGCATCCCCATACATTTTGGTTTCTTCTTTCTCTGTAGATAAGCGCTAAAGTGGCGTTTGGCTAAAGGCACAGGATATTTAAATTTTATATAAAATTCCATTCTTTCCTGTACAAATATAGCTATTTATATTGTTTGAATGTCAATTGTGTACAACATCGTTTAACAACGGGTAGTAAACAATGAGGAAACAGTCAATTGATAGACACGACCCATTGCATCCAACAGTTTATGTTTTTAAATCAGTATTCAGTTGTATATTGCGATTTATCCTGTAACTACACCAAACAAAACCGTTTATAAAAATATTACCAACTTTTCAAAGTTTTAAAAAAGTTATTTGACAGTTAATAATTAGTTTTCGCGCGTAATTTTTAATTTATGTGACATTTGTTAATCTATATTTTTATTATCTGTGATTCTTTTTCTCGTGTTCGAAAATTAAGTGGTTTTTATTATTCGAAGCAAAGGATTTTTTTACAATGGTAATGTGCCTTTTTTGTTTTTAATTAATATGGCTTTCATGTAATTCATTTTAAGTTTCTGTTGATATTGGAATACCTACTTACAGAAATACAAATACCTTCATCTATAACTTTTCTTAATATTGTAGATAGACGACTCGTTGGCCGAGTGGTCGCAAGTGCAACTGCCGGGCAAGGTGTCTCGGGTTCGATTCCCGGGTCGGGCAAAGTATTACTGAATAGGGATAGAATAGAGCAGGCTCACCTCCTATTACATGGGATGCATCACATAAATAGTGAAAAGTGGGTGTTACACTATACAGTGGCATAATGTGCACCACTGCCTACCCCTTCGGGGGTAAAAGGCGTGATGTTATGTTATGTAGATCGATAAGAAATTAAAAAATCAAATCCAGTGTTGCCATTATGATTTATAGTTAATTAAAACTTCGAGTTACAAAGTACTGAGAATTTTGAAATATTCCACTTAAATAAGTACCTATTCACTTTGTTATTTTCCTTTTAACAGTTAAAACTTACAATTGAAGTGTTTCTCCTATTATTTTAAATAGCTCTCAGAGTCGAGGATAGTTAATCCGATTCTCTAAAATCGAAAACGATTTTACTGAAATCAAACGTGCAGCATTTTACTGAATAGTTTTCCAATAGTTTTTACTTTGGTTACTTTTTATCTAAAATTCACTTACAAGTTAAGAATATATGTAATTACAGTGAGGTTTTAGATTTAATTTTAGAGTTGGGTAGTACTTATAGGGGATAAAATTCGTGGCTTCAGACCCTAATTACATGGATTCAGAAATAGTGATTGATTTGTAGCAGTAGGCTCAGTGAACCAGTGTAATAGGCAGTGGCTTATTCCATGGGATATGGCTTTGGTTGTATCTAACAGTGACTGCTAAGCGTTAGACATTGATACTGGAAAAATAAATAAATAAAATAAAATAATATGGGGGGGGGGGGATCATTGATTAAAAGGGATTGATGATTCTTCCTGCCAAGGATGAGGCGAGAGGGTATTACAATCCTAACCACGTCGTTAAAACTCTTACTTCGACCTGGAGTCCCAGTAATCCTAACGGCTGTCTGCAGCTCCAGAAAATAAGTAGACCTTGATAGAAGAACCTTCTATCACGATAGTTTCAGTAATACATGGCGAAAAGTAGGTAAAATAACGATCCCTCTGCTTACGCTTATAAACAGATATGACATCATGTTATGTTCTTAACTTTAGATATAAATATAAATACAGAATGCTATCAACAAAGCATAGAAAAGCCAAACACCTCCTACGCTGATCTAATTCAAGATTGGCAGTCAAATACATTTGCTACATGTTTTCTGATCAACACAACTTGATTTACCTTCTACCATACCTTCCACGTTCCTTCTAAAATAGTCATACATGGTAACAGTACAATAATTTAAGGTAAAGTTGAAAGAACTCATTCATAATTTTTACTTGGCGACGGGACGGTTTTTTACTTGGCGCAAATGTAGAAAGGGGTCTACTATCCAATTACAGTAGCTGTCAAATATTAAACGTCCAATAGTGTGGACACTACGCGATTCCCTATTGGACGAGGAACGAAAGGTTCACACTAGTGCCATCTGTTGAGAAAAAACTCACCGTATTGCTTAGCATTTTGCTAAGGATCGAAATTAATAACCGACTACAATTCAAAACATGTTTCTGTCAAGTCAAAATCCGAGACTTTTCAGATATTAATTTTGTGGAAAAAGAAGAATGAAGAAAAGATGTGAAGATTTTCATTCATTCATTCTTAACGGAATAATTATGTTTCATTGGAAATAGTTCAAAAGATTCGGCACGAATGGGCCTGCTCGACCGGAATAATACCACGGCCTCACAGAAAACCGACGTGAAGCAAGCTTGCACTGTGTTTCGTCGTGTGAGTGAGGATATCGGAGGCCCAATTACCCTCCTCTTCCACAATCTCCCCAATCTCTGAATCTCCAACGATCCTCAAACTCCTAATCCCCAAAAGGCCGGTAACGCACTTGTAACGCCTCTGGTGTTCCAGGTGTCCATGAGCGACGCCGATTGC